TTTCCGTGGGTTAAGACATTCAGGGAATCTCCAGTTGCTAAACTTTCTGAGGTGAGATTTTTGAGCATAATGATGATTTCTGTGACAACTTTGGCAATTAGATCTTTAGCTGAATTTCAAATTTGATGATTAATTTTGTTGAAGCTTTGTTAATTAGATCTTTCATGCTCGAAACTCGAAATATGTTAGTAATTGAATGCATCCTCTACCAATTTAGAGTCAGTATAGCCTGAATCTGAAACCTTTTTGTCTTTGAATACATCTTGTACGATGATAATAATGCTTGAGCTGATTTGGCTTGGCAAAATCGATGTCGAGTACAAGTTATGTGCTTGTGAAACACGTGGGAATATAAAATTCATGAATGTATTTTATTATCCGCGGACCACAATTGCTGGCTTTTGGACTACCATATCTTTCTCCAACTAAAAAGAATTTGTCTTTTCTTTTTGTTTAGAATTTTACTGTAAATTTTTTGTGCTTTACAACTTATGTACGGAGTATTTTCTAATTTATAGACCATAGAAGAATATAACTTTCTGTATATTATATTGATTTGTTTGGATGTTTTTGAGTAACATATGTTTTCTTTGGTGAAAAGATTCTAGGTATTGGCTATTTGTAGTACGTAATTTGATTTTTATGTACATTGAACCGGTTTTCCCTTTGTGTATGATTTTTTTGCCTCTCCTTTCTTTGTTTACACGAAGTGCAATTCATTATTTCTTATCAGCCTTGTCAAATAGTTTTTGCTTGACCACATTTTGTATAACTACATACGAGTAGCTGTTATTTTCTTGCTAGGCTTGTCTGCTCATCTGCTTTTACTTGTTTTTCTGAACAGATCCCTGTCTCCCATATCCCTGATGCTGTTTATAAGACATCAATTGACTGGATCAGCCAACGTTCAGTTCCCGCTCTTAGTTCCTTTGCAATTTTGTTATTAGATAGTATTCTCGCAGATTTAAACGTTCAAGCTCCTAGTGTTAAGAATGCTAAGAAGGCAACTCAGCAGCCAACATCCAAATCTCAGGTAATTTTGTACAGAATGTGCTCATCTTTAAGCCTATCTCCTAGCAGAACTTTAAATGTTTTCTTTTATCTAAGAATTTGATTTTCTTTTCTTACACTTGGTTTATCATCGCACCTCATTTTAAAGTACACAGTGCTACAGCAGGTTTATATATGCTATTTTAAAATTATGACTTTGATGCTGGTTTGAAGCATGTCTGCTGCAATGTATTCTTTTATCTAAGAATTTGATTTTCTTTTCTTACACTTGGTTTATCATCGCTCCTCATTTTAAAGTACACAGTGCTACAGCAGGTTTATATATGCTATTTTAAAATTATGACTTTGATGCTGGTTTGAAGCATGTCTGCTGCAATGTAACTACTAATGCTTTGAATGATTTATGATTTTCATTTTATATTTATTATATCTTAGATTCTTGGTGTCACTCTTATCCTGTCACTTCTTGTTTTACCTCTTCCCTGTTGCCCTCCATAGACTGTGGAAGGAAGTATCGAGTTCTGTCAGAATTACTATTTCATTGGAGTTAATGAGAACACTAACTGTGCTACCAGCCTACCGCTCTTTTCACTTTCTTGCTCATAGGTCTTTTACAATAATTGGTCATATCACTCTCCACTCTCAAAGTATCCTATGAAAGTTTCCGATTCCTGAAATATATTTAGTCATTTTGTTTTTGTCTTATGGATGTTGCTATATGTGATAGGTTGCTTTATTTGCGGTTTTGGCTATGGTTTTAAGGCGTAAACCAGATGTTCTTGTGAGTGTGTTGCCTACATTAAGAGAGAACCCCAAGTATCAAGGACAAGAGAAGCTTTCAGTTATCATATGGATGATATCTCAGGTAGTCTTTGGAGTAATGCCTCAGATTATTTGAAGGATATTGAATTTGAATTGTTACTATGCTTGTCCTATTTAACTGCCACTGGCTTATCCTGACAAAGTAAACTATTCTGTATAGGCCTGTCAAGGAGATTTGGCAGTTGGCTTGTTTGCATGGGCTCATAACCTCTTGCCATTGCTCAACAGCAAATCCACTAGCAATCCACTTTGTAGGGATCTGATTTTGCAGTTAGTTGAAAGGTTTGAAACAGTTGCATATTTTTGATACAGTAAATCATTTGTGTTAATGTATCGTACGTTTGTAATATAATGTGCTTGATTGCAGAATTTTGGCTTCCCCAAAGGCCCGTTCCATCTTGGTTAACGGAGCTGTTAGGAAAGGAGAACGTCTGATCCCTCCAACTGAGTTTGAGATCCTTGTGCGGGCCACTTTCCCTGTGTCATCCGCCAGAGTAAAGGTGTGTAATTCATATAGATTAATATTCATGACCTTTTATTGAATATGTATCTAATAGTTGTATGGGGATTCTTTGCAGGCAACTGAAAGATTTGAGGCTGTCTATCCTGTCCTGAAGGAAGTTGCTCTTGCTGGTGCGCCTGGAAGCAAAGCAATGAAACAAGTTTCACATCAGATATTTGGATTTGCAATTTTAGCAGCCGGAGAAGGTAATTGTTTTCATGCTATTTTGCATCCTTGTTTTCTTATATAAACATGCATTTCTTAGAAAGAACTCTGTTGTGAAATTTATGTGTATTTTTTGTTTACTGATTTCACAGGGAAGCCTGAGCTGGCTAAAGAAGCCACTGACATCTTAGTTTGGTCCTTGGCTCATAACAGTGATATCTACAAGCAATGGGTAAATTGATTTTACACTTTTACTACTCTTACTATTTAGCATTCAATTCTTTGACAGGTTATATTGGCATTCCATCTTTTGTGGTTTACTTGATTTTCGTGCTCATTTTTGCAGGACAAAGTATACCTGGATAATGTGGAGGCAAGTGTTGCCGTTCTGAAAAAGCTTTCTGAGGAAAGAAGGGAACAGCATCTGAACCAGTCATCTCTTGAAACTGTAAAGCAGACTCTGAAGAGTTTCCAGCAGAAGGTAGATTTCATGATCCTCACTCAACCTTTTTATTTGATTCAATCACATCTGGAGACGTAGATTTAAGGATAAAATACAATAAAAAAATAAAGATGGATAGAGAGAATCAGCTTCTGCTAATTCTGTTCAGGCCATAATATGATTGTATGTGACTTTGTATAATTCATTGTTTTGACGTTCTTTTGCTTTTCTCATAGAATGAAAAAGCATTGGCCGGTGATCATTCAGGACAAGCAGCTCTCTTCAAGGATGCTAACAAGTACTGTAAAGTGTTATTGGGGAGATTATCGCGAAGTCATGGCTGTGTTAAAGCCTTGGTATTTGTTGCAGTTGCAACAGCTGTGGGTGCTGCTGTTATGTCTTCAAATGTGGAGTCCTTTGATTGGAAGAGGGTATCTGTGATGCTCAGCTCCTTCCAATCTTTCTGAAATTAGAACGCTTAGTGGCTGTGTGCTGTCAGTTCTGCCGTTCATTTGGTTCGTAATATGATTGAGAGGAGGCAACACCAGCAAGTTTACATCCAACAATAACCATCTAAATAGATCACCGGATACAAGGAGTTAGAATGAGAGGATGCCATAATGCTTTCGGCTGTATTTGATAGTTTCAATTCGGTCCTCGGCATTTTTGACCGATTTGATTTTCTGTTTATTTATTTTAGTTTTTTTTTTCCAGCTTCCTGTTAACTTTTAGAATATTTGACATACATGCTTGTATTTGTAGACTCTTATGCTTTTATTTACAGGTTTTAATATTATGAAATTATTAAATCACCAAGTCTCTTGTACTCCCTTCGATCTGGTATAAGATTTAAAAAAAAAAAAACAAGAATAAAGTAGAATAAATAAAATTTGTGAGTAATGAAAATTATTTACGAACTAAATTGATCTACTGATAATTTTTTTTTTTTTTTTTTTTTTTTTAAAAAAGGTTCATTTTACCCATGAAGGAATATCACAACATAAATAGGAGACTAATCTCTAAAAAAGCTAAAGTCTTAGAGTTCTCTCGACCCTTCTCTCTCTAACCCCATCCTTATCTTTCACCGCCCCTCCTTCTTTCTTCAGCCCTGCTCGCCGGCGATTGGCGTTTCGCCTAGCCGTCGCCGGCGAGCCCAGTCCTCCCGTTAGTACCCCTTTTTGCTATTTTATTTTTAGTTTTTTTGGTCTGTTTGGCGAAGAATACAGGGAGGCAGGGAGCTCCAATCCTCTTCGGTAATTCGTGGGTTTTGGTATATCATCAAGGGTTTCGGCATATCGTCAAGTGTTTTGCGACTAGATTCAAGGACTAAAGAACCAAAGGGCTACCCTTAACGCCGCCGTTGAAAGTATTAATCTAATTTCCCGACGGTAAAAGGTGAAGTTAAGGCTAGGGTTTCCTCGCGTATCTAAAGTTAGATTTAGTGAGGGGTTCTTTTTCTGTTGTCGCTGACGATTGTCCGTGGTGTTGAGTTGGTTGTTGCCGGTGAGGTCTTTCCCTTTCTTGTTGTTCCTTCCTATGTTCTTTCGTTTCTTTGTGTTCTTGTTTTATTTTAATTGTTGTTATGTTTTGTTTGGTTTTATTATGTTGTTTTTGTGTAAGCTTCTAGTTTGGTTGGTTAAGGGCGTGTTCGGCAAAAGTAGCTGTGTGGGTAACTGTTAGCTGTAGTAGTAGCTGTCAGCTGTATACCTAGCTGTTAGCTGTCAACTAGCTGTTAGCTGTGAATATTTAAATATTTTAATAGTAGTGTTCGGTAAACTAGCTGTTGAGTCTATATAATTTAATAAAAAAAAATTATTATTTCATTAATTATAATTATATTATTAGTCAAATTCTTATAACAAAATTTAAGGTGTGGTTTATAAAATTAAGTACACAATTTCTTGATTACTATCAAATACATTTGAAAGGACAATGTACAATCTATCAAAATAATAAATAAATAAAAATGAATAAGTGTATACAAACCTTTTAGTAAGAATATTTATTTGCTTAACAAGCTAAAAGTTACTCTAATGAAAAAATACACAAATCGTTTTATTACAATAAATAATTACGGCGTCTAGCTTTCCATAAACTACCAGCTATATGGTCACGAATAGCCTTCATTTCAGTACCATCACCTTCTCTATTGTCACAATTTGATCCAGCATGATTAATATCCGGCAGCTCGAATGATGGAATAAAATCTGGGTAATCCTCTAACACTCTAAAAAGGGGATCAGTTGGTGAATTAATTCTAATATAGTTGTGTAGGGCAAATGTAGCAACCACCATTTGTATTTGTGTCTCAACACTGTATTTTGACATTTTGATAAGTATTATATCTTCCATCTCTGCTTCAAAACTCCAAAAGATCTTTCGATACAACTTCGAAGGGATGAGTGCCAACGATTAAAATTTTCTTGTTTATTTTGAGGAGGTACATTCTCAAATTGTGACTTATGATACCTCAACTTAGGATACGGTACTAAATATCCTCTACGATCTGGATATCCTTTATCAGCCAAGTAATACTTACCTAATTGCACCAAATCAAACAATGTTAAATATATATTTATATATATTATAAGAATTTATTTAAATAAACTTTATTATAATTACCTCTTAAAAAAATATATAAACTATAAGCATACCTTGAGAAGGAGTAGGAAATTTCATCTCTGGGTTTTCAATTGCATGAAGAAAAACACGAGTATCATGTGCCGAACCTTCCCACCCCGCCGATACAAATGTAAAACACATATCAAAATCACATGCAGCCAAAACATTAAATGTAGGAATTCCTTTTCGCCCTCTATAAGGCATTTGTTGGGCCTCAGGTATACATGCCTCTATATGTGTGCCATCAATACATCCAATAGCATCCTATTAAAAAAGTATAATGATGATATATATATATACATAATTATAAATAAATAAATATAAATATATATAATTAGATAAATCATTACCTTAAAAAAAGGCATATATCTATTATCCGTGGCAATTTTCGCTAGCACGCCTTTAAAACTAGGATCATAGGGTCTTATAATATCATGCGCAAGCCCCTTTACCTTTCTACTAGAGATTGAGTAGAGAACTTCATGAATAACTCTACTTATTGTATCGCCGGATCGTTGAAAACGCTCACACAAAACTCTATTTGATACCCCTTGAGCCAGTGCATATAATAAAATGCAAACTTTCTCTACTATAGACATGTTACCACTAGCTTTCAATCCATATTTTGAAGATAAGTCGTTACATAGTCTCAATAATAATCTTGGCTCCATTCTAAATGCATTGACACATCGAATAGGATGACCATTTAGCACTTCCCTTATCCACTTTTCTCCCGTAAAATTTAAAGTCATACACGGTTCCTTATAGATATACTTGCAATAATAAGTATATATTAAAGATATAGCATATGCTATTGCAATCCAAAATTTACGCTTTCTATCGTCATCAATGTCCATATCTGTAATTACATTTCAATAACAAGTGATGAAACAAAACACACACACACACACATATATATATATATATATATATATATATATATATATATATATATATATATATATATATATATATATATATATATATATATATATATATATGTTAAACTAAATTTATTAATATTAAAAAATGAAATTAATTACATGTACCAACACTACTATTTTAGGAGCAAATAACTCGAAATAAAATTTAGTAACAAATAACTAATGAAGCTACTTATTTTAAACAAATTGAATGATAAAAATCGAAACTACCTAAAAAGATCTTATCTAATTGTCTTTATTCAAATATAAGTGTTGCAACCATCTAAGCCTACTCTCATCATCATCCATATGCAAAAACACCTCTCTCTTAGTTTGATCTTCAATCACAGAAATAGCATAAAACCAAACATCACAATATTTCTCTAAAATATGGTTTTGTACCATAAGATTGAGAACTTGCATGGCAGTAGTAATTGTGGATGAGGATGGTTGAGTACTTGCATTAGGTGTGCTACTTTGAGCCATAAGCTTAACACACTGTCATTTCACCAATTTTATGAGACAACATTGTTGATCCTGCTGATTGTCTTCTCTTACGCTTCATTTGGACAACATTATTCTTTGTTATAGGTTGCTTTTGGGCCTTTTTAGAAGCATGAGTACTAGCATTTGCACCTTCATTAGTCACTTGTAAAGCACCACCCGGATTTGGTAACACTGAATTCTTAGCTTGTTCCATAAAATTTTGGAAAAAATTATCATTCATTAAATCAGATGTAAATTAGTCACTTTGAAAAAAGTTACTCCCATTTTCCGGATTTTCTTCATGCTCTTCATCATAATTCTCATGTTCTATGTTTTGCTCTTCAATATTAATAACAGGGTCTGTTGAAGGTGCATACACATTATCCCCCGTAGCACATGAATCTCCAAATAAACTATCCCATTTGTTTTCAAGCTTTGCACTAATACCCTTATGACGAAATTTTTTGAAATCTGATTTCTCCTACAAATTCATAAAAAAAAAATCAAATTTAAATATGTCATATAATTCTATTTTGATGAATAACAGAATCCTATTAAAATTTAATGTGTACACACCTTAATTTTTTGATCCCACCATTCATTCGTGGCATCAATTCTACCAGATTGCGGATTCCATCCTAAACCAGTTTCTTTTGATTTCAAAGCCTTCCAATGACGCCAATCTTTTCTCATTGTATCATATTTATGCTTGCAACTATTTGTATTTATGAACACCCATCCAATTCTTTTTTCAACTTCCGTTTGAATTTCCTTCCACTTAAAAAATTGTGAACGACCATTGTCTTTAATAAATTGAAGGCATACATCACACAGTATCATCATGTTTTCATCATTCCATTTGAAAATGTCTTTAGTTGCCTACTGTTTACTAGATGAAGCCATCTAGTATGAAACCCAAATTTATTAATATATATTAAATTTGTATAGTATATGAAGACATACATGCTACCTTAAAAAGAAGTGTATCAAAAAGGAATGAAATTCTTCCTTATTCCCATTGATTAAGATCATACTAAGGTTATATACATAGCTAGCATAACACTAGTCTTAAATCTAGGTGATCTATATGAGTACAACTGTACAACATTCTAGTTGATTATCCAATATTCTAGCTAACATATGTTAAACATAACTATCTACATAAATATAGATATCTTATTTTATCTTGTTCCATTAATTGATGACGTTGCTTAGATGAAATTGTATTGGTCTTTTACAAAAAAAAAATCCCTGTTTTTCTACTCTCTACTTTGTCTCCTTCAATCTAGGATTTAACAATTTAATTTTAGCATTTAGAGACCACCGTAGTACAAGTACATAATTCATAACTTGATTGTACTTTGAGTCATATAATGATAATATATATTTCTGAAATAGCTAATCAAATTCAACTTACAATTCAATAATATTAGGTGGTAGAAATAATAAGCATTGATGATGAACTTTATTAATTATATTTATTGTTTTTTTTTCCCAGTCACCGGTTAGCAATTTGTACAGAACTTTATTAATTATAATTGTATTTATTGAATTTTCTTTATCATGGAATATTACTTGTGCTAAGCTACGTTACTTGAAGCTCAATCTAAATCTAATTCAAAAAACCTAAATAGAACCACAAGAGTTTTTTTGTAGAAAAAATAGAATATGAATTCATACCTTAATTCGAGAAAAGCAATGGGAGATGAGAACCACAATTCGACCCGATGCTAATATCTACAATAGGAAAAAAATACAATAAAGCTTAATTCATAATACTAGAAACCAATAATTTAAGAAGACATATAAGAAGACAAAATTTACCAGAGCAAAGCAATGCAGAGCTACGTCTTTTGTGAAGGAATGACAATTTTTTTTTTAAATGATTTGAAATGAAGAATGCAAAATAGAATGTCAGATCAAGTCATATATAGGGCTATATAATATTTGAACGTTAGACATGAGATAATCATCAAAATAAATTTCAACGTTAAAATTTTGATAAGTATTAAAAACAGTATTTCAAATTTGAAGGATAAAAAAAACAGATTGGATTTTATTTCCTAAAATTTTGGATAAAAATTCTATACCTATTTTTCAAAAAAAAAAAAAAAAAAAAAAAAAAATTACAAAAATAACAAAAAATTCCCACAGCTAATCCGACGTTAAAACTTATAACTTTTGGCAAAAGCTACTTAAAACACTAAAAGCTACTTTCACCACTACCTTGCCGAACATGTCTAATTTTTATCAAGTAGCGTTTTGACCAAGTCAAAAAGCTAAAAGCTACTCAAAAGCTACCTAAACACTGGTGCCGAACACGCCCTAAGCTGTTGTCTTTAAATAAAGTTGTTCAAGTTATAGAGGGTTATGAAGTGTGGTCGTTGTTCTCGGCGCCTTGTTGGTTGTTTTTAGGGGTTGTAAGGTTTATCAATCCCTTGTTAGTTTGGTTGGCGGCCCTTTTAGTTGCTTGTTCGGGGTGGGATTGTGTTATGGGAGGTTGTCATGTTGCATGTGTGGCTTCCCCCTTTGTCAGTTTGGGTGATGTCCTCTGTGTTTGTGCTGTTATCTAGAGGCTAGCGATATTTATGCAAGCAAAAAGTATTCCTTGCATTTGGAGTTTGCAGGGGGTAGGTAAGTTTGAGGGGAGAGGGTTGTACGTTGGCCATGTTGCTTATTGGTTGCGGGATTATATAGGTCTTCATTCAACGACTATCATTCCAGTGTCGGTGTTGGTGTTGATGATGACAAAGACAGTCATCATTAAAAATTTCAATCTTGAAGGAGGCTCCCCATCTTTAATGTTTGGGGTAAGCAAAGTCCTCCATCTTCTTGCATTCTATATAGGTAGAATTGCAGGAAAGAAACCTACATTTTGGTGTAAGGTTTCTCTTGGTAGAGTCGTGAAAAAATCCGACTCTCATGGTTTGGCTCCCGGACTCTTAGGAGGTGAATCCCTAGGAGTGGAGTCGGGTGATGGGTCCTTTTTTCAGCAACATGGGGCTTTTGACTTTCGGGTGTATGGTCTCTACACTTCTTCTGCCGGGATTTTTCATAGGGATTATGCTAAGTTTCGGTTCCCTTATTTAGTGTTCGCTTGCATTATCTGTCCTTCTCCAAGATTTTGGTTTGTTTGGCAACTTTTGGTCCAACAAAAGGTTTTGGTAAGAACCTTTTGGTTATTCGGGCTCCGAGATGTTTGGTATGATGCACATGGGTGTATTCATTCATTTCTCTTTCCCTCTATTGGTTTAGTTAAGTGGGTTTTGTTGTTTTTAATTTCTTGTTTTAGATCTCTTAGGTTGTAATTTGCCTTTATTTATGAAGTTCTCATTGTCAAAAAAAAAAAAAATCTCCTTTAAATAAGGTTTATTTTAAAGACTTTATTGATGCCATCAATAAGAATGAAACCCAAAAGATAGAAAATTAGGCCCTGTTTTGTTTACCTTATTTCTTTTTATTTCAGGATTGATTAAGATAAGTTCAGAGAAGTTAGGTGAAAATAGGAGGGTGTTATGGTTTTTTAATTTTTTTTTTTTTCATTTATAGCATTGTACATTTTTATATACTATTATGCAAGTATAATGTTTTATTAAAGTATAAGTTATCTTAAAAGTAGTTTTTGTGTACTATTATGCATGTAGTGTTACATTTTATCATCGTACCTATTTCTAAAGCACATAGGTGCTATGCACCTATAGTTATTCGGAGCAACATCCAAACTATAAATGGAAGCATCATGCGTTCTATTCACTTTATCATAATTTATCTGAACTTATTTTCCTTGACTTATCTTATCTGAACTTATTAACTTTTATCTGAGCTTATTAGGCCTGAAATAAGTAAAAATAAGATGAACTGAATAAGGCCTTAGACTCATCACTTTTTAAAAAAATAAAATAAAATAAGTTCTCTTTATTTCTTACGCCAATTAGTGATTAAAAAATGATGCATCTAAACTAAAAACCAGAGGAAGCATTACTTGTATAGCCTCTTCAGTCTTCACTGCACAACGAAGATTTAATCTGATATGATTGATAATCAAATAAGGAGTAACTTCTGTAAATAAGATATATGTATAATCACATTGTAATCCTTTAAAAGAGTGAGAAGTTACAAATATCAATTTATCAATACATATACTATACAATTGATAATGACAATTAGAGACGATTCTTTATTCGTAATCTTCAATGGTAGCCCATGGATATTTGAGAAACCCACCCTTAACCTCTGATGGGTTTTCAGGTTTAGACCATGGATACTTCAATGTTGTGTCTCTTGGTAATTTCCTAAAATTAAGAAATGGTGCCCATACCAAAATCCTGCATCACATTTGTTCCATAGTTAAATGACAATAACTTTAATACTACTCGAATCGTCGTATACTAGTTAAATTACACTATTAACGTGAGTACCAAATTAGAGGAAGGAAGAAACAATTGACG